AGCACTTTGGGAGGCTGAGGCAGAAAGATTACTTGAAACCAGAAGTTCAAGACTAGCCTGGGCAACATAGTGAGACCCCACATCTACAAAAAATGAAAAATTAGCTAGGCATGTTAGGGTATGCCTGCAGTCCTAGTTACCTGGGAGGCTGAAATGGAAGGATTCCTTGAGCCCAGGAGTTCAAGGCTGCAGTGAGCTATAATCACACCACTGCACTCCAGCCTGGGCAACAGAGTGAGACCCTATAAAAAAAAAATGATTTAAGAAGGCTGGAAAGAAGGAAGGAAGGAAGCGATTGAAGGAGGGAAATAAAATCAGAGATCAGCCATGGGAAAGTCTAATGGCACGGACAGCTATTCTTTTGCCACACAGCTTCCATTCCCCTCCACACTTGGGTCTTTGGAGAATCTCTTTCCATCACTTTAATCTGGGGGGGCTATCAATCAAGGAACCGTGCCCTGCTCTGGACAATTGGGAGGCCAAGAGACGATGGTACTCTCTCCCTGGAATCCTGAGCAGAATGGTGAAAGGACCTAAAAGAGTTGGAACGAATTCACCAAAGCCTCCAACTTTCCACTTCCTCAGGTCCCAGGACATCCTTGTTTAGGACTTTCTAAGCTTTCCCTTAAATTCTGTGAACTGCTCCATTTCCTTCTGATAATGTCCTCATCCTGCATAACTTAGCAGGAGTCATTCTCTGTTGTTTATAACCAAACGAAGTTAATGGAAATATCTAATAAAAAGGAGTTTGGTGTTTATTTGTTCTTTTATTTGCCAATATAACTTACCACAGTGGCTTGCAAAGCTTTTCAATCTCGAAAACATATTTCACATCATGATCCAGTAAACTAACACACACATATATAACACACACACATATATATACAAAACTGAAATAAAAGCTCTACCAAAAATGTCTAACTTACTAACACTCTTAAGAGTGTTAATTCTATTTCTTTTTTAATGCTGGTCTGATCTCAGATCCACTAGCTGTTATGGTCTGCAGTTTTGAAAACCTCTGGCTCCTTGTACCTGCTGCATCTGCCTCCAACAATAAAAAATCCCAGAGGGTGTATTAGCCCTATGTCCATGTCCATATGTGATACACTGAGGCATGCAGCCCGGCTAGTGGGGAAACACCAACAGAGTCCCAGGGCCCACACTCCCATGAGGATACTCTAATCAGTTTAACTGTCTACACTCTGACTCTGGAAAAAACATTTGATTATTTAATCACTTTGCACACTCATTGAGCACCCATTCAGTGGTGTGAATATATGACAGATTCCTGGAGAGTGTCCAGAGCCATAAACTCTATCTGCAAGTTGGCTCAGAGAAGAGGAATCCAGGACAAGGCCTGTGTCCTGACTGTTTATCCATCTCCTCCCCTCCCTTAAGGGCCCGGGAATGTCTCCAAGATCAGATCTGGACAATGATTACTTCATTCTCAGCTCTGGAGTAAAATAAGTCTCAAGTTCAGCCTAGAAAAAAGGAAAAAAAGGGAATTTCTGTCTCTCCCTTGCTCTAAAGGTGTCTGGTTAGCTTCAAACTAACCTACAACTAGGGACCATCTGAATTCTTTGTCCACCTAATGATTTATTCCCCTCCACCAGACAAGCAGCAAAAACATCGAGAAGTAGTATAAGGGGCCAGATGTAGTGGCTCACGCCTGTAATCCCAAACCTTTGGGAGGTCAAGGTGGGCAGACTGCTTGAGCCCAGGAGTTTGAGACTAGCCTGGGCAACACGGTGAAACCCCATCTCTACCAGGAGGTGGAGGTTGCAGTGAGCTGAGACTGTGCCATTGCACTACAGCCTGGGCGACAGAGCAAGTCCCTGTCTCCAAAAAGAAAACAAAAAGAAACAGTAGAGATTAACTTTTCATTAATACTGCCGATGCCTTTGTCTTAAACTTATCACTATTCTTTGGCAAGCGAAAAGCAGCCCCAAAATCCCTCTCTTTTATTTATCTCACACCCTTTCCCTCAACTATTCCAAAAGTGTGAGCAAGAGCATGGAGGAGAAGCTATTGGTCGTGTGCACCGGAAGTCCAAGCTACTCAGGAGGCTGAGGCAGGAGGATTGCTTGAAGCCAGGAGTTCAAGGCTGTGCTGTGCTATGATTGCACCCCCGAAGAGCCACTGTACTCCAGCTTTGGCAACATCGCAAGACTCTCTTCATTTAAAAACAAAGAGCATGGAGTAGGACTTGCAGCTGACACAAAATGGATGGATTTCTTCCACCTCCTCAGAGTCTCACAACTGCGGATGTGACAAGCTAGAGAAGAGTGGGGTTTGGGCAACTGGGGTTGGCCAATAACAACATCTGTATTGTACTATGGCAAAAACACTCATAGCCCAGGCAGAAACGGAGAGGAGGGGCTGGGAACAGAACTAAATGACCACCTGTATTCTAAACTTGAAATGAGTACCTATTTTACAAATGTGGCTTGAAGAACAGCCATAATCTAGCTTCAGTTGGGTTATCTCTACCTCAAGGGCAGGCTGAGGCAAGCAGGGAGTAAGGGAATCAGATGGGGCACTGGGGATGATACACAAACTCCCCATCACCTGGATTTTCATTTCACTCTCACTCACAATAGCTTGGAAACTGATGTAATAGTACACACCTGATCTGGGTTAAGTTCCCCAACAGAGCCTAGAAACGCTCAGCCACAAATTACCCTCCTCAGCCTCTGGAGAGGAAAAACCATATGGTCAAGCTAGGGTGGGGAGAACAGGGACTGGGAGCCAGAGAAAGAGTACAGCGAGGTAGACCAGCCTGCACTGGACAACGCCTCCTACCTCCTCAACCCTCTCCCCGTCGCAAAGCCCTTCCTTGGGTCACTTCTCTCCCCTTCTCAGCCCGGGCTCTGCATCCCCTTCCTCCACCATCCCCGGGCCTGGCGGCTGGGGACGGAAGCAAAACCGACACACCGTCCCAGGAAGCGACTGATAGGCCGACAGGGGGAGGAAAACAGAACTACAAGCGGGAAGACGAGAAATCCAAGATGAGAGGTGACCCCCGGGCGGGAAAGCCATATCCCTTTTAGCGAAAGGTAGAGTCCCTGGACAATCTCGTTACAGCCTGAGTCCTACCGTCCCCCCCACTCGCCCCTGACCCTGTCCTGGAACTGACTCTACCCTTTTTCTTGTTACTGAACATCCCAAGCACCACGATGAAATTCTTTGAAGGGCCTCTGAGGTCACCAGGACCCGCAACCCACGGGAAAGCCTAAGCCTCCTCGGCGGGACACAACGTCCAAAAGCGCTCAGGGACCCAGTCTGGCTGCCCACGGGACGCCGGAGCAAGCTCGGGCTCGCCGGCGCCGAGTTCCAGCCAGGAGCCGCAGTGTCCTACCAAAGGGCAGGGACGCCCCGAGCTTCGGAGCCTCAAAGGAGTCTTCACCCCGCGACTCCTACTGCCCGTCGCAGGCAGCAGAATAAAAAGAGAGAAGCGCCGCGCAGGGCTGACCGCGCCAGCCGGGCACCAGGTGAGGTCAGCGAACTCGGCGCAGGGTACGGGAGCGGCGGGCTTGGAAACCGGGAATACAAAACCGGGAAGACGGCGAGGGCGCTTTTTCTTACCGCGGCCTGGTCCTCTGGGTGCAAGTCCACCAGGGTACACCAGTTCCGCGTCCCGTTCATCTTCCCGCGGGGTCGCAGCACACGCACCACCTCTCCACCCAGCGGTCCCGCTCCAACTAGGCGGGCGCGCGCGGAACCGCCCCCTTGTATAGGCTCGCTAGGGGCGGGGCTGAATATAGGCCACGCCCCCAGCTCGTGGTTTCGCCGAGAACGCGCGATAAGCGAGGTGGGCGGGGCCGAGGGGGTTGAGACTTGCCTCACCCGGGCTCGCACAGATTCACACAAAGATAGGGCTTGGGAGCGACATGGGGCTGCTTTAACTGAACAGCTGTATTTAGCATATGTGGTTGCAGCTCAACAGTCGTCACTAATCTTTTCTCCTTCCATCTCTCCAAGATCAGTGTTGGTCAGAGGGAATCACCCTGCCTGCTCCTAGACGATGAGAATTTGGAAGCTGCAAAAGCTTCCTTCCATACATGTTCTTCTCCCTATACGTAAGCCAGCCTGTAGGCTTTATAGAGCTGAGTAAACCCTTCCTCCACCGCAGAAAGGCAGGCACCAAGGGCCAGCTCACTCAGACTGGCCCAAGCCAGTCTGGCAGGTGCACTTCTTTGGCAAGAGGCCCAGGAGGCCCAGTCAAAGCCAGCTGGGCTCTGGGTGGGGCTTGTTTTGCAGAAGCTCTTATACTGATGCTGCCCTTATATGGTTGGGAGAGGCGGGACACATTGCCTTAAAAGGAATTTGTGTTCGTGAGAAAGGATGAGCCTTGCCGTCTCCGGTTGCATTTGCTCCCCAGTCCTAGGCTGGGATCTTGAAGGCCTAGAAGAGAGGGTTGGACAAGCAGGACCCTGGAGCCTCCTCCCTGCCCAGCTGCTCTTAGCAGATGGCTGCTCCGCTTGACTATGGCTCACACAGAATGCAAACAGAAAACTTCAGGAGGAGGTCTGACCCACTCCTGAGTGGCTTAGTACCCCTATGCCTGGCAATAGGCTCTAGTGAAGGACCAGCTCCCTTTCAAGGCAACATTAGGGCAGGAACAGCAGAAATGTCCCTACTTCTCAGGTAGGGACTGGGTCCTATGCCAGTTAGGAATGAATGAGGATTTTTGTATCTGGGAAAGGAATGCTGGGGTTATCCCTACGATCCAAGGGAATGAAACCCAGTTCTGGTCTGTTCTACTCTAATTCTGAAAAAGGCATTTACTGGCCTTGCTCTTCCCAGAGGTTGTTCAGGAGAGAACGGGACTGCTATAAACATATCCAGGTTTCCTAGGTCCCATCTGTGCTGTAAAGGGCCTCTGAAATGCAAGTGAAGAAAACTCTAGCTTCGGCCCCTAAGCTATACGGTTAATATGACTTCATAAAACCTAGACCTCCAAATAAGCCAGGAAAAAGAATGAGAAGACAAACCAAGGATTTCAATATAAATGTATCATTTTAATATTTAATTTAAAATAAAACCAAGGCTGAATTGGATTGGGAAAGGATGTCTGATTTGCAGAAGAATATAGGAATTTTTTTTTTTTAATCGCGACATTACAAGTCATTCGTGAAAAGAGCCTTCTTCCTCCCTTCGGCTCCCTATAGAACCTGCTTAGGAAACATGAGAGGTGAATCATTCCCCTTACCTCTTCCCTACCAGGACATGGCTTTCCCTAAAATCCAAAGGAGAAATAAATGTCTTCTGTTGCCTCTTCCCATTTTTACAGTCAGCTTCTGACCCCTTGCAAAGCCCTGAATCCAGACCAAGCACCTCAGAAAATGAGGGTCCCTTGGTTCTCTTATTGAAGTTGGGCACATCTGGTCAGAGAAGCCCCAAGTCACAGGGACTGAGACCTTTACCTTTGGAACGTGTACAGACAGTTGTCAGGGCTCCCAGGTGCAACCACCTTATAACCATATCCACAGTCACAGAGGAGAGAGAGGAGGAAGGATGGGAACCCTGAGCAGCACCAGACCCCCGCCACTTTATCATGGTCCTCCCAAAGTCCCTCTCCCAGGGGCTCATCGGCAGAAAAACCAACAGCTCTCTCCATCAATCACTGGGGCAGCAGGGAAGGCTGAGGGCCCTGGCTGGGGAAAAGCTGGTCTTTGGAGAGGTATGAATGTGCAGATATAAAAGGCAAGAAGAGCATCCTTATCTCCTTACCCTGGCTAAGGCACTGAGAGGAAAAATGCGAGGAAGAATGGCGAAGAGGGGAAGGGAAGAAGACAAAAATATAGGAACGGGAGGGGTATGGGGACTACCACATGAGCCCCATACTTGTGCAAAGAAACGGGTGGAGCCACGCCTGCGTGTCCATTACCCATAACGTTCCCCTCACCCTGCTCCAGAGTGGAAGGAAAATGAGTTGCAGGAATCCAGGGAGCACAAGAGCATAGGATATTTCCCTGAGCCTTAGGGTTACGGGCTAAAGAATAAAGCTTTATACACATGGCAATTTCTATTCCTTCCTATCATGCTCAGTCCCCATCGGCCTGATGCTGATCATCCTTCCAGTTAGGAGAGAGATTAGGGAGGTGTCAGCATTTGAGGAAAGGGCTCAGTTGGCTTGAAATATCCACTCCTCCAGTGGAAAGTCCATCCATCACCTTATTGCTGATGTCTTTTATCACCATCACTCAGACCCCTCCCTGTCTTAGGTCTGAACAACTGGGTCACCCACAGGAATGCAGAATCCAGGGTGAGCAAAGCAGAGCAGCACTGACTGGGGTAGGCCTTGAGCCTGGTTTCTGGGCCCGTGAGGACCACGAGCTAACAAGAGCTGGTCTGTAGGTTGCTCTCCGTAAGCAGCGATGCAATGGATGAGGGATCGTAGACACCGTCAAATTCCTCATCTGAGCTCAGCCCTTCGTGTTTGAGAGTTGACTCAGCAGCTGAGCGGGAAGCTTTGCGCCTGACTCAGAGAGAATAATACTGGTTAGGGAGGGGAAATAGAAATATTGAGACAGCCACCCTTTTTGTGCTAAAGAAACCCCAATTCTTCTCTAAGGCCTAAAGTTACAAGATCCCCAACTAATCAGATTTAGGGAGATGAGGTATAGGATGATGGCTGAGATATTAACAAGTAAATATACTGGCTTCCAACCAGAAACAAGTGACTGCACAGTCCCATCTTAGATATTCTCCTCCTTATCCAGCTCAGGAGAGACCATTCCCTCTCTGCTCTACTGTCCCTATGGAGCAAGGGGCAAAAGGGCAGCTCATACCAGGAGTCCTTCTCCAGAGACTTGATCCGGGCCTGGAGCTGTTCATTGACCTCATGCTGCTCCTCCAGCTCACGCTGGGCCTTCTTCCTCAGGCCATCCAGTCGCTCAATTTCCTCCTCTGCTTCATCCACCTGACGCTTCAAAGCCTTCACCCTCAGGCTTAGCTGGGCAGGATAGCAAGTCCCCACATTGGAACGGCATCTACTACCATGGCCTGGGACCCTCCCCTGTAACTATCTTGACTAGAGATAATTGCCCCTGGAAAAATGTGGCCATGGGCAAGTTCCTTAGCCTCACAGGGTTGTCTTAGGGATAAAATGTATTTACATATGTGTCATACTTACAGAACCTAGCACATCATAAGCACTCAATAGATAGGCTCACAATGACTGCTCTAGTATCATCCTCTCCATCTAATCTCTGTCCTTACACAAGGAAAGTCTAAGTTTGGAAGGCCTAAGGGAGGCAAGGGCCTCCTTTGGCTTTCAGGAAAACACAATATACACTTGCCCCACAGTTGCTTGGCCCCAGGGTGCCATGTCCTCACCTGGTCTTTCTGATCATTGACATGCTGCCGCTCGTCTTCAATCTGGATGGATAGCTCTTTAACTTTCCGCTCCAGTTTTCTGTTGGTAGACTGCAGAACTGTCTTCTCCCTAAGATGAGGCCGAAGAATGTCTATGAGTGTCCCTATTTCTTTTTTTTTACAGAGTTGAGCTCTGTCTGCAACCTCCACCTCCTGGGTCCAAGTGATTCTCCTGCCTCAGCCTTCTGAGTAGCTGGGATTATAGGTGCCCACCACCATGCCCAGCTAATTTTTGTATTTTCAGTAGAGATGGGGGGTTTCACTGTATTGGCCAGGCTGGTCTTAAACTCCTGACCTCAAGATCCGCCCACCTCCACATCCCAAAGTGCTGGGATTACAAGCTTAAGCCACCACGCCCGGCCAAGAGTCCCCATTTCTTTTTTTTTTTTTTTTTTTTGAGACGGAGTTTCGCTCTTGTTACCCAGGCTGGAGTGCAATGGCACGATCTCGGCTCACCGCAACCTCCGCCCCCTGGGTTCAAGCAATTCTCCTGCCTCAGCCTCCCTAGTATCTGGGACTACAGGCGTGCGCCACCATGCCCAGCTAATTTTTGTATGTTTAGTAGAGACGGGGTTTCACCATGTTGACCAGGATGGTCTCGATCTCTTGACCTCGTGATCCACCCGCCTCGGCCTCCCAAAGTGCTGGGATTACAGGCTTGAGCCACCGCGCCCGGCCTAAGAGTCCCCATTTCTAAGGGAATCCTAACTTGGCCCCGTGCTGCCCCCGAGGACTTCTCTTAATCATGAGCCCACCATTAGACTAGGCAGGATCTAGGGCAAATTCAAAGAATAAGGGAGAGTGAGGTCATTCACATTTCAGAATTTCTACAACTCTCTGCTCTATCAGGAGAAAAGGTTCCCTAAACATCAGGCCAGGTTGGCCATATCTGAGGTGGAAGATGGAAGGAGCTGCAGAGGAGAACAGTAAGGAGGGAGGGCGGGAGGGAGGGAGGACAGGCTTATGTCACCTCTCTTCAGCCTGCAGCCGCTCCTGCAACAACTGATTCTGAGACTCAAGCTGAGAGATGCTGGCACTGGGTTTCTGGAAGCCTTCTGAGCTGGCCAACCGGGTCTTCAGGTCCTTGTTCTGAGAGGGACAGGAAGCCTCCACAGTCAGTACCCCACAGGCCATTTTACCCACCTCCTGGAGTCCATCCCTGAGCCTCCTCCCTTCCCCCTCACCTGTCTCTCCAAGGAGATTTTGTCACACTCTAGGTCCTGCCGAGCAGTCCTCTCCTGCATGAGCTCTGTCCTCAGCTGATCCACCTAGTGGGGAGGGGTGAAAGGACCCGACTTGGAGAGGGCTAAGGATGCTCTAGCAAGCTGAACCAAGTGAGGCCTCTGAACCCTCAATCCAGAAATTCCCAGGCAACTAAAAAATCACAGCCTGTTCAAACGGGAGGAGCCAGAGAATGTAAACAGGGCCTCCTTCATCCCACCAGGAACTAGTCTCCCTTGTGAAGTAAAGAAGCCCCAATTCAGGTCAGAGAGCAGCCCAGGCCACGAGGATCCCTTCCTCCACGCAAATTATTGGCTTCTTTCCACCCCAGGAAACTGGCCAGCCCTTCCCGAGGCAGGCAAGACCCTGAAGTAAACCCAGCCATGCACAGATTCAGAAGGCAGAACTCTGCAGATGATGAAAGATGGAAGGGTAGAGTTGTTTCTGAGGGAACCAAGAGGTGCTATGGTACAGAGCTGGGGCGTGAAGGAGGCTACCTGGTCCCGGCCACGATTCACCCGGTCTGTTAGCAGCTCCACAGTGTTCTTCTCCTCATCTAACTCTGCTTCCAGCCGTGAGACTTTTTCCTATACCAGAAGAACAGGTTAATTCTGTCCCAAACGCTGGACACCAGAATGCCAAACTCAGACCAGGAGCCTCTCCAACGCCAGCCTTCACAGACTTCTCTCTTGCACATCCCAGGAACCTTTAGGTACTTGCCAGGGCCCAGAGCCACCATGGAGCCAGCGCCCTCTGCTGACCAGGTGTGGCATCACGGGCAGGTTGGGACCGTGCTCTGGTCACAGCCCAATGACAGAAAGGCGAACCCCAGAATCCACTCTTCATTGGAAAACCCTATTTCTCTAATGGGAAAACAGAGAGAAACCCAAGTACCTGGGCCAAGACTGAGACGAGGAGACTCAAGAAACTGAGGCACCGGAGGCAGTAACCTCCAGAGGCTGAGTATGTACATGGGACCAGACTGCCCAGTCTGAAAATCAGATCTACCACTTCCCAGCAGTAGACCACGGACAAGTTCATCTCTCTGTGCCTCAGTTTCCCTCATCTTTAAAATGGAGAAAACAAGACTACCTACCCCACAGGGTTATTCTGAGGATTAAATAAGTCTTAAGTGCCTATCACATAGCACCATATATGTTTGCTGCTGCTGTTATTACCAAATATAGCAAACTAAAGAACACTCTTCACTCTAAAGGGGAAAGCCACCGCTCAGCCCCAGCCAATTGTTGCCATGCAGATTCAGGACAAGACACTCAGTGTGACCATATCTGCCAAATACAAAAGAAGCTAGAAATCCAGATTTTTAGGTGACATCTATACATTTCAGAACAACAGCAATTGATTCAAAGTTGTTTAAAATACGGCAGCCAGACAAAACCCATCCGCAGCGGGCTGCCGGTTTTGGCTGCTAGTACAGAAAGAGGCTTGGAAGTCCCACCTATGCCAGGATTTCGAAATCCTGTTCCACAGGTCACCCCCCCCAGTGCCCTCACCTCGAGGCCCTTCAGCTGCCGGGCCCTGTCGTCCTGGGAGCGCTTCTTGTTCTCTGCCTCCTGCTCCAGCCCCTGCAGTCGCTGGGCCAGAAGCTCTTTGTCCAGCCGGGCTGTGTCTCGCTCAGCCTGGCACGCTTGCAGGGCCTGCCGCAGCCTCTGGATCTGGCCACGGGGGTAAAAACGCCACAGCTCAGTGTAGTAAGAAGGTGAGGGTTGGCCAGGCGCAGTGGCTCAAGCCTGTAATCCCAGCACTTTGGGAGTCCGAGGCGGGTGGATCACGAGGTCGAGAGATCGAGACCATCCTGGTCAACATTTTGAAACCCCGTCTCTACTAAAAATACAAAAAACTAGCTGGGCGTGGTGGCGCGTGCCTGTAATCCCAGCTACTTAGGAGGCTGAGGCAGGAGAATTGCCTGAGCCCAGGAGGCGGAGGTTGCGGTGAGCCAATATCGCGCCATTGCACTCCAGCCTGGGTAACAAGAGCGAAACTCCGTCTCAAAAAAAAAAAAAAAGAAGGTGAGGGTTGAGGGGCAGGAGCAGTGCAGCCCAGTGGGGAGCAACACACCATCACTGTCACTCTTTAGAAGAATTACCAGTAGCATGGTGACAATAAGAAGCAGACAGACTTTTATGCATTTTCTTTCTTTATTTTTGAGACAGAGTCTTGCTCTGTTGCCCAGGCTGGAGTGCAGTGGCGTGATCTCAGCTCACTGCAACCTCCATTTCCTGGGTTCAAGTGATTCTCCTGCCTTAGCCTCCCAAGTAGCTGGGACTACAGGTGTGTGCCATCATACCCAGCTAATTTTTGTATTTTTTTTTCTTTAAAGATGGGGTTTCACCATGTTGGTCAGGCTGGTCTTGAACTCCTGACCTAAGGTGATCTGCCCGCTTTGGCCTCCAAAGTGCTTGGATTACAGGCGTGAGCCACCACGACTGGCAATTTTCATATTTTTAGTAGAGATGGGTTTTCACTATGTTGGCCAGGCTGGTCTAGAACTGTTAGCCTCAGGTGATCCACCTGACTCAGCCTCCCAAAATGCTGAGATCACAGGCATGAGCCACTGCACTCGGCCTATTGTTTTTAAAGTCTACACAACTTAGAATTATCTGCGGAGTTTTAAAAATACTGATCCTAGATCGCATCCCCAGAGATGATGATTTAAGTGGTATGGGATACAGCTTGGGTTTTTGGGATTTTTAAAAATCCCCCCCAGGTGGCTCTAAGGTACAGCAAAATTTGAAAATCACTGCTCTACAGACAATATGTTCCTTCACCCTGCAAGTCATTAGACCTAAACCTGGGGCTCGGGGACCCTTGGCCACAGGTTCACTTAAAAGGCAAGGACCTTCAAACTAAGGATATTAGGTTTCTACCTCATCCTGAAGCCGGTTCAGTCCCCCAGAGGTCTTCTCAGCCTCACTGGCCCAATCCTTGGCTTGGCGCTGGGCATCTGCCACCTCCCGCCGGGCCTTTTCCTTATAATCCTCCAGCTGGGCCTGGAGCTGCTGCAGGGCTTGCTTAGAGGACCCCCCGATCTGCTCCAACTAAAACAAAGAGAAAAGGGTCTTCAGCACCTCTTTAATAAATGTCCCTCTGCAGGCCCAGACTCCGAAGACTCTCCCCCAAGAATCTCCTTCCTGACAAGGCAGCCCTCTCTTGCTCTTTCCTGGGCCTAGATTCCCAGTATGGCTAATAGTTACATACAGATGTCTGGGTTCAAATCCTGGCTCTATCACTTACTAGTGATCATACACAAGTTACTTACCTTCTCTGGGTCTCAGTTCCCCATCTGTGAAATGGGGTAAGAATAGTAACTATATCACAAGGTGTTGTGAGAATTAATGTTAGTTAATTATGTGAAGTTCTGTATTTACCACAGTGCCTGATACAAAATAAGCCTTAAATGACCATTTCAGCACAACTCAAGGTACCAATGATCATAACATGTACCAGTAAGAAAAATCTGCCAAGTGAACTATAACATACTGTAAGTTATAAGACACAACTCAATTTCAGAAATGTAAAATGTGCGCCGGGCGCGGTGGCTCAAGCCTGTAATCCCAGCACTTTGGGAGGCCGAGGCGGGTGGATCACGAGAACAAGAGATCGAGACCATCCTGGTCAACAAGGTGAAACCCCGTCTCTACTAAAAATACAAAAAATTAGCTGGGCATGGTGGCGCGTGCCTGTAATCCCAGCTACTCAGGAGGCTGAGGCAGGAGAATTGCCTGAACCCAGGAGGCGGAGGTTGCGGTGAGCCGAGATCGCGCCATTGCACTCCAGCCTGGGTAACAAGAGCAAAACTCCGTCTCAAAAAAAAAAAAAAAAAAAAAAAAAAAAAAAAATTCTACCAGTGCAGTTTTTTTTGTTTTTTTTTTTTGTTTTTTTTTTTTTTAAGACAGGGTCTTGCTGTAGTGTAGTGGGGCAATCACAGCTCACTGCAGCCTCAACCTCCTGGGCTCAAGCAATCCTTCTACTTCAGCCTTACAAGTAGCTGGGAATACAGATGTCTCATTCAAATCCTGGCTCTACCACTAATTAGCAACCACAGGCAAGTTACTTACCTTCTCTAGATCTCAATTCCCCACATATAAAGAGAAACTGAGGCACAAGCCACCACACCTGGCTAATTTTTTTTTTTTTTTAGACAGTCTCGCTCTATTGCCCAGGCTGGAGTGCAGTGGCACGATCTTGGCTCACTGCAACCTCTGCTTCCCAGGTTCAAGTGAATCTCCTGCCTCAGCCTTCTGAATAGCTGGGACTACAGACGTGCGCCACTACACCCAGCTAATTTTTGTATTTTTAGTAGAGACGGGGTTTCATCACGTTGGCTAGGATGGTCTTGATCTCCTGACCTTGTGATCCACCCACCTGGGCCTCCCAAAGTGCTGGGATTATAGGCATGATCCATCGTGCCCGGCTTTTTTTTTTTTTTTTTTTTTTTTTTTTTCTAAGTAGCGGTAGAGCCTCATTATGTTGTACAAACTAGCCAATGAAGATTCCTGTATTTAGGTTTTGTAGACTCCAAAGGGAGAATCTCAGGAGATGCTCTCCAAGAATGAAGACCATAAAGAAATAGGATGTGAGGGAAAGGGTAAAAACATGGAGGGGCCATAGGAAGGATGCCCCTTCCAGAAGATTTGGTCTTGGTCTTCCCAAAAATGTTCTTGAGGAAAGCAAACATCACACATTTTTTTTTTCCTTGAGACAGAGTCTTGCTCTGTCACCCAGGCTAGAGTACAGGGGTGCAACCTCGGCTCACTGCAACCTCAGCCTTCCAGGCTCGAGTGATTCTCCTGCCTCAGCCTCCCAAGTAGCTGGGACTACAGGAACGAGCTACTACGGCCAGCTAATTTTTTTTTTTTTTTTTTTTTTTTAGTAGAAACAGGGTTTTGCTATGTTGGTCAGGCTGGTCTCGAACTCCTGACCTCAGGTGTCTGCCCACCTCGGCGTCCCAAAGTGCTGGAATTACAAGCGTGAGTCACTGCGCCCAGCTGTAAACATCATATATTCTGATATATCCCCCTCTCACAATCCCCTGTCCCCTCAGGCCAGCTTCTGGATGAGCTGGGCCTCTTCCTAAAGGCCCAGAATACCCCATGCCCCACCTCCTTGTTCAGTCGGTCCACAGTCCTGTCCAGCAAACGCTTCTGCTCCTCCAGCTCAGCCTTGCTGCGCCTGAGCGCCTCCCTCTGCTTCCCTTCCTCCTCCAGGGCCCGGTTCAGTGTCTGCTGCTCCTGCCCCAGGCGGGCCAGCCCCCGCTGAGCCTCCTCGAGGCGTGCCTCCAGTGCCCGCTTGGCTGCTGCCAGACTCCCCTCCTCTTCCTGGGATGCATTCAGGGCCTCCTCTAGCTGCTGCTTCTCTGCCTGAGAGGTAGGGAAGCAGGGTTGGACTGAGAGAAGGCAAAACTTGGGTTCAGTCGTTTGGAGGTAGATAGCTGGGCAGGAGAAATGAGGTATTTATGAAAATGGTGCGCAATGAAAACAGGCTCCTAGCAAAGAAATCAGGACACAGAGAGCAAGCAAAAGGTGGGAGAGAAGAGACAAAACTACCAATGCAGAGACGGGAACATTGGCGCCAAAGTATACTCCAGGAAATAAACCCAAGGTTCACAGAGGGTTTGGGAAGGCAAAACAGATGCCCGCTACGGCAAAATAAAACTGGTGGCTGAGTATTTAGCATAGGAGTATTGCACCAGGGCTGAGCAGAGAGGGCCGGGAGGAAGCCGACCCGGTGGGCGGAGGCACCGACCTCCAGCCGCTGCAGCTTGTCCCGAAGCCGCGCCTCCACCGCTTCCCCACCATCCACCAGGCCTCGAGTCTCCTTCAGCTGCTGCTCCAAACCCAGGATGCGCCGGCGGAACTCGTCATTTTCCTCCTGGGTCTCCCGAAGCGTTGTCTCCATTGCGGCTCGCCGCTGCCCCAGCACTGCTGCCTCTGCCTCGGCCACCATCTTAGCCTAAGGACGGTTCCGGGGGTGGCGGCTCAGACCCCAGGGCTTGGGGCCATTGACCGCACCCATGAAAGCCGTCCCAAAGACAGCCCATAAGAATGAGGCTTAAAGAGAGGGGCTGCCACCAGCCAGACGCTTCCCTGAGGTCCCACCCCTACAGAGATGCAATGGGTTTCAGCAGGTACAGCAGCCTCCCCTACCAAATCCTGGCTGCTTTGAACCACACGCCTAGGACCCAGGAGCTGGTCAGTACATACCCACGACAGGTAACTCTCCACACCCTCTGGGTCCTCAGCCCTCCAGACACCCTCCACTTCCTAAGCCCTGGGCCCACTCCCCTTGCCTTGGAAGCCTCTTCACAGTTCTGTCGCAGTTGCTGGAGGGTCTTTTGTAGCTGGAAGTTCTGTTCTTCCAGCTCCCGACCTCGATCAGCCTCGACCCTCAGGACCGCCAGCTGTTTCTCCAACTCCCGGTCCCGGTGTCGCCCAGCCACCTCCTGGCTCTGCCGTTCTGCTTGCAGTTCCTTAAGCTCCTCCTGTGTCTGGCGCAGCTCCTGGAAGGAAAGGGGAATGGTGATGGGGCACCTAGAGCCAGACCAGGATACCTGAATGTGGAGAAGCTGAAACTCTCATACATTGCCAGGGGGAATGAAAAACGACGTGGCCACTTTGGAAAGCAGTTTGACAGTTTCTCAAAAAGTTAAACAGGGATTTACTGTTTATATCACCAGCAATTCCACTCTTAGGTAACCCAAGAGAATTGAAAATGTGTTCACACAAAAAGTTAAAAGTGAATGTTCATATTAGCATTATTCATTACAGCCCAAACGTATAAACAACGCAGATGTCAATGAATTGATGACTGGACTAAATATGTTATACCACAGAGGAGAATGTTATTCAGCCATAAAAAGTAAAGAAGTACTCATACTTGCTACCACAGGGACAAACCTTGAAAACGCTAGGCTAGGTAAAAGAAGCCAGACCCCTAAGGCCATCTATTACATGAAATATCCGGAATAAGCCGGGTGCGGTGGCTCAAGCCTGTAATCTCAGCACTTTGGGAGGCCAAGGCAGGTGGATCCCGAGGTCAGGAGTTCAAGACCAGCCTGGCCAAGATGGTGAAACCCTGTCTCTAGTAAAAATTAAAAAAAAAATTAGTGGGGCATGGTGGCGGGTGCCTATAATCTCAGCTATTTGGGAGGCTGAGGCAGAAGAATTGCTTGAACCTTGGAGGTGGAGGTTGCAGTGAGCCGAGATGCTGCCATTGCACTCCAGCCTGGCCAACAGAGTGAGACTCCATCTCAAAGAAAAAAAGAAAGAAAAAGATATATCCAGAATAGGTAAATCTAGAGACAAAAAGTAGATGAGTGGTTGCCATTGGGTGGGAGGAATTATTGCTAATGGGTATGGGGCCTTTTGCGGGTTAAAAAAAAAGTTCTGCAATTAAATAGTGGTGATGGTTGTACAACTTTGTTAATATAATAAAAACCACTAGATTGTAAACAAAGATGACTTTTTTTTTTTTTTTTTTTTTTTTTTTTTTTTTTGAGACAGAGTTTCACTCTTGTTACCCAGGCTGCAGTGCAATGGCGTGATCATCTCGGCTCACCGCAACCTCCGCCTCCTGGGTTCAGGCAATTCTCCTGCCTCAGCCTCCCGAGTAGCTGGGATTACAGGCACGTGCCACCATGCCCAGCTAATTTTTTGTATTTTTAGTAGAGACGGGATTTCACCTTGTTGACCAGGATGGTCTCGATCTCTCGACCTCGTGATCCACCCACCTCGGCCTCCCAAAGTGCTGGGATTACAGGCTTGAGCCACCACGCAGGGCAAAGATGACTTTTATACCATGTAAAACATAGCGTGGTGGCTCACACTTGTAATCCCAGCATTTTGGGAGGCCAAGGTGGGCAGATCACGAGGTCAGGCGATCGAGACCATCCTGGCCAATACAGTGAAACCTAACCTCTACTAAAAATACAAAAATTACCCGGGCATGGTGGCATGTGCCTATAGTCCCAGCTACTCGGGAGGCTAAGACAGTAGAATCACTTGAATCCAGGAGGTAGAGGTTGTAGTGAACCGAGATTGTGCCATTGCACTCCAGCCTGGGCAAAAGAGCAAGACCCCATCTCAAAAAAAAAAAAAAAAAAAACATGAAGGGAGAGTACATGAAGGTATGGCTAGTAAGACTGGTTGTTTAAAAAAATATAGTGTGGCCGTGGGATCTCCAGCTGCATGCAAGAGCAACCTGGAGAGACATTGACAGCACAGGTCAGATCAATGCCTGCAGCTGCCTGTCGCCTTTCCTACAATGCTTCAGGAAAAACACACAGACACATACACATATATAATATAAAACCAAAATATGTGACACAATAAATACTGGCACAGCACTGATTTCTTTTAAAAAGAAAATTAGCCGGGCGCGGTGGCTCAAGCCTGTAATCCCAGCACTTTGGGAGGCCGAGGCGGGTGGATCACAAGGTCGAGAGATCGAGACCATCCTGGTCAACATGGTGAAACCCCGTCTCTACTAAAAGTGCAAAAAATTAGCTGGGCATGGTGGCACGTGCCTGTAATCCCAGCTACTCAGGAGGCTGAGGCAGGAGAATTGCCTGAGCCCAGGAGGCGGAGGTTGCGGTGAGCCGAGATCGCGCCATTGCACTCCAGCCTGGGTAACAAGGGCGAAACTCCGTCTCAAAAAAAAGGAAAAAAAAAAAAAAAAAAGAAAAGAAAATTAAAATATGAGTTCTGGTTCTAATTATTAGCTACTTCTGAAATTCAGAAAGTACCATAATTAGGCTAAAGGGTTATATGTAACCTTTATATGTAAGACCATAAGGAGCCGGGCGCGGTGGCTCAAGCCTGTAATCCCAGCACTTTGGGAGGCTGAGGCGGGTGGATCACGAGGTCAAGAGATCGAGACCATCCTGGTCAACATGGTGAAACCCTGTCTCTACTAAAAATACAAAAAATTAGCTGGGCATGGTGGCACGTGCCTGTAATCCCAGATACTCAGGAAGCTGAGGCAGGAGAATTGCCTGAACCCAGGAGGCGGAGGTTGCGGTGAGCCGAGATCGCGCCATTGCACTCCAGCCTGGGTAACAAGAGCGAAACTCCGTCTCAAAAAAAAAAAAAAAAAAAAAAAAAAGACCATATACTCTGGTATATGGTCCATATACCTGACCTCAGAAAGTTAGAGACCAGCCTGGGCAATGTAAGACCGTATACTCTGCTATTTATCTTTCTTTCTTTTCTTTTTTTTTTTTTTTTTGGTTGGGGGGCGGGGTGGAGTTTCGCTCTTGCTGCCCAGGCTGGAGTACAGTGGCACGATCTCAGCTCATCACAACCTCCATTTCCTGGATTCAAGCAATTCTCCTGCCTCAGCCTCCCAAGTAGCTAGGATTACAGACACATACCACCATGCCCAGCTAATTTTTTGAATTTTTAGTAGAGAAGGGGTTTCTCCACGTTGGCCAGGCTGGTCACCAACTCCCAGCCTCAGGTGAACCGCCCACCTCAGCCTCCCAAAGTGCTGGGATTACAGGCATAAGCCACCTCACCCAGCCACTTTTTCTTTCTAATAAGTTTTGTTACATTAGCAACCAGGCCATGCCAACACAAGTATTCCAGTCCATGTGATGATTTCTCAGTGTAAATTAATAAACTGAAATTCTAATGGTAAACATTTCTTCATAAATGTAGGTAAGAGTCCCCTCTGAAAGACAAAGCAGCGTTTGCCATGCTGACCAAATTAGATTTCTGAGCCTGCAAAAATGACCCTGGAGTTTCACAAATCCACCTAAATGCTGCTACCCATGACGTCTCGCCTTTGGCTATACCCCAACCTGGCTTCTGAGAGCACTTTCCATTAGAAACCTCTTTGCTCAATCTACGGCCATACCACCTTGAACACGCCTCATCTCATGTGATCTTGGAAGCTAAGCAGGGTCAGGCCTGGTTAGTACTTGGATGGGAGAAACCCTATGCTGCTGTGTTGGAAAGAGATCAAGCTGAGCAAGCAGGAAGAGGCCTGGAAACCAAGAACACAGGAGACGGCCCCACTAGCGTGGAGGCCTTCATGGAAAGGTAAGGCAGGTGTTGATCACCCCTACCTCCCATTCTGCCCCCCAATTCCCAAATACCTTCTTGAGCACCTCAACCTGGCGAGTATCTCCAGCACTAGCTCGGGCCTGCTCCAATTCCCTCTGCAAGACCTCTATCTTCTCTGCAAGCTCCTCTTCCATCTCCTCCTTCTCCATTCGCAGCTGCAGGAGTCTGAGTGGGCAAGGTAAAATAAAGGGGGACGGGAACAGAGTGAGGCCACATGCCTGGGGGAGGTTAACATGGCAATGAAACCCACCTCTCTGGAGGCGAAAATGCTGGGCACCCACTCTTTTTTTTTTTTTGAGATGGAGTTTCGCTCGTTACCCAGGCTGGAGTGCAAGGGCGCGATCTCGGCTCACCGCAACCTCCGCCTCCTGGGCTCAGGCAATTCTCCTGCCTCAGCCTCCTGAGTAGCTGGGATGACAGGCACGCGCCACCATGCCCAGCTAATTTTTTTGTATTTTTAGGAGAGACGGGGTTTCACCATGTTGACCGGGATGGTCTCGATCTCTTGACCTCGTCATCCACCCGCCTCGGCCTCCCAAAGTGCTGGGATTACAGGCTTGAGCCACCGCGCCCGGCCAGCACCCACTCTTAAGAGGAAGGAAGGTGAACACGGAAAAGAGTAGTCTGAGAAGTGGGATAGTAAGAGCATAGCGCGGATTCAAAGGAAGTGAGCCGGGTGTGGTGACTCACACCTGTAATCCTAGCACTTTGGGAGGCCAAGGCAGATGGATCACTTGAGCCCAGGAGTTCAAGATCAGTCTGGGCAACATCATGAAACCCTGTCTACAAAAAAATTCAAAAATTAGCCATGTATGGTGGCGCATGTCTGTAGTCCCAGCTACTCAGAAGGCTGAGGTGGGAGGATGGCCTGAGCCTGGGAGGTGGAGGTAGCAGTGAGCCCAGACTATGCCACTACACTCCAGCCTGGAAAGCCAGACCTTGTCTCAAAAAAAAAAAAAAAAAAAAAAAAAAGAGAAAGGGCTGGGCACAGTGGCTGGCACCTGTAATCCTAGCACTTTGAGAAGCCAAAGTGGGTGAGGTCAGGAGTTCAAGACCAGCCTGGCCAACATAGCAAAAATCCCATCTCTACTTAAAATACAAAAATTAGCTGGGCGTGGTAGTATGCGCCTATAATCCCAGCTACTTGGTGGGCTGAGGCAGGAGAATTGCTTGAACTCAGGAGACAGAGGTTGCAGTGAGCCGAGATCGTGCCATGGCACTCCTGCCTGGACCACAATAGTGAAACTCTGTCTCAAATTAATTAATCAATTAAAATTAAACATTAAAAAGAGAAAGGAAGTGGGATATGAACCATGGGCAAGTATTTCTGAGAGGACCAAGCTCCTTACTCCTGCTTGGTGGCTCTAAGGTCCTCCTTGTTCTTCTGGAACATGCTCTGCCAATGCCCCGTCTCCTCTGAGGTCTCCTCCAGCTCCCTCTGCAGCCCTCGCACAAGGGCTGACATCTTCTGCCTCTCAGCCTCCAGCACTGCATGGTCCTAGAGAAGGGGAGAGTTGGACACCAGAAGGCTCAGAGGGAAGTGGTCACTTCAAAGCGAAGTGTGGGTGTGTAGAAGGAAAGGCGTAGACCCAGAGGGCACCATGCCAGCTACACCCCCTGACACCTTTGTGGCACGTGGTACAATGCTAGCAGAGGTTCTCTCCTCAAGCCACAGTCCCCCTTCTATCATCTACAGGACACCTCCCCCAGTTATTTCCCCTTGAGACTTTTTATTCTGGGGGGGACAGAGTCTTGCTCTGTCGCCCAGGCTGGAGTACTATGGCACAAAATCAGCTCACTGCAACCTCCACCTCCTGGCTTCAAGTGATTCTCCTGCCTCAGCCTCCCAAGTAGCTGGGACTACAAGCACGCACTACATCCAGCTAAGTTTTCGTATTTTTGGTGGAGTCGGGGTTTCTCCGTGTTGCCCAGGCTGCTCTCTAACTTTCTGAGGTCAAGCAATTCATCCGCCTCCCAAAGTGCTGGGATTACAGGCGTGAGCTACCACCCCAGCCTCCCCGGGACTTTTGTCACACAATCTCCTGGTAATTCTGGCCTGTACTCCTTTACTGTGCCCTGAGAGTTTTTCTGGCCAAGGTTTTCAGCAGATCTCACACGTGTCCTTTAGGGGGTTCCGGTTGCAACCATGAGAAGTCCGAAAGTACCAGATCCCCAGGCAGCCTTGCTCCCCAGCAGCGCCCTTCTCTCTCAGACCCTGCTCTGGTCACATGCCTGGGTCGCGTCCTGCATGCTCCTGCGGAGCTGCTCCGTGTCTCGCTGGCACTGCTGTCGCACGTGTTCCACCTCCTGGTCACGGGAGGCCACCTCCTCTTTCAGGGCCCCCTTCAGGGCTGTCAGCTCCCGCTCCCGCAGCCTCAGCTGCTCCTCTACCCGCTGTTTCCCCTCCAAGACCTCTTCCAGAAGTTCCCGGGTCTCTAACAGGTCCTGGAGAAAGTAAAGGCAGAAGTGCAAGGGTGACTATATTAGGATCCATCTATTCACCAATTCACTGAGCCAAAAATATTTATTGAGCACCTTTGTGTTACGCACAGTACCAGAGGCTCTAGTACCAGTACGAGAGCGCGGCATGATCGATTTCCTTTATCCCAACTCTATTCCCAACCCACCCCCGAATCTGCCTGAAAGCACACTAAGGAGTACCTGCAATCAGCCACCCGCTCCTCACACTTTGGGGAAACCACGGATGAGCAGACTCGAGGATGATCCAGCTGAGAAAAAGCAGAGGCTGGGGCACAGGACCCCAGTTACCTTCAGTAACACCTCCTTAGCAGGCTCAGGACCCTGGACCTGTTTCAGCTTGTTCTGCAGCTCCACCACCTGGGTCTCCAGTCCATGTCGTAAACTTTCACCCTGGTCCAAGAGGCGCTTCAGGTTCTGGAGCCTAATAATAGATAACGTGATTGCACACTATGTGTCAGGCAGCTTTCTAAGCACATCATATGCTTTAATTCATATTTATTAATTCATCTAAACTTGCTTTGTTCAGGTCTTGAAGAGGCTGCCCCTGACCTTTACAACCTGCTCCCTACAACCTGGCCCTCCTGCTCTGCCTTACCCTGCTGTATTTCCTGCCTTCTCACAGTTACAAATTTACCTGCATGATATGTTTGTTTACTGTCTGTTCCCTCTCAGCAGAAACTAAACTTCTGGAGAGCGAGCCCTTCATCTGTAGGGTTCACTGATGTGCCTTGGGTACCTAAATTAATGCCTGTCACAGCCTTCCTGATGAAACATCTGCTGAATGGATGAATTAATCCTTACAATGATCCTGTGAGGTAGGTACTATTATTAATTCTATTTTACAGTTTAAGAAGCTGACACAGGCCGGGCGCGGTGGCTCAAGCCTGTAATCCCAGCACTTTGGGAGGCCGAGGCGGGTGGATCACGAGGTCAAGAGATCGAGACCATCCTGGTCAACATGGTGAAACCACTTCTCTACTAAAAAAAATACAAAAAAAGTAGCTGGGCATGGTGGCGCATGCCTGTAATCCAGCTACTCAGGAGGCTGAGGCAGGAGAATTGCCTGAACCCGGGAGGCGGAGGTTGCGGTGAGCCGAGATCGCGCCATTGCACTCCAGCCTGGGTAACAAGAGCGAAACTCCCTCAAAAAAAAAAAAAAAAAAAAAAAAAAAAAAAAAAAAAAAGGCGGGGCGCGGTGTTTCACGCCTATAATCCCAGCACTTTGGGAGGCCAAGGCGGGTGGATCACAAGGTCAAGAGATCGAGACCATCCTGGTCAACATGGTGAAACCCCGTCTCTACTAAAAATACAAAAAATTAGCTGGGCATGGTGGCACATGCCTGTAATCCCAGCTACTCAGGAGGGTGAGGCAGGAGAATTGCCTGAACCCAGGAGGCGGAGGTTGCGGTGAGCCGAGATCGCGCCATTGCACTCCAGCCTGGGTAACAAGAGCGAAACTCCGTCTCAAGAAAAAAAAAAAAGCTGACACAGGCAAACCCAGGTAGCTTAACTCTAAATCATGCGCTACCACTACTGATAAAGAAGGTAGAGAGAGGCCGGGCGCGGTGGCTCATGCCTGGAATCCCAGCACTTTGGGAGGCGGAGGTGGGTGGATCACAAGGTCAAGAGGTCGAGACCATCCTGGTCAACATGGTAAAACCCCGTCTCTACTAAAAATACAAAACATTAGCTGGGCATGGTGGCGCGTGCCTGTCATCCCAGCTACTCAGGAGGCTGAGGCAGGAGAATCGCCTGAACCCAGGAGGCGGAGGTTGCGCCGAGATTGCGCCATTGCACTCCAGCCTGGGTAACAAGAGTGAAAACTCCGTCTCAAAAAAAATAAATAAATAAATAAAAAAGAAGGTAGAGAGAAAAGTCCTATCCTGTCCTTAAACCAACACTGCCCCTTTGAGCTTCTGGAGATTTCCTTCTGTCTCCTTCAACCTTGAGGGCAAAGTGGGAGTGGCCTCTAAGCCGGGCCTAGGCCCCCACCAGCTGCACTCACTCCTTGTTGCTCTGCTGGGCCTCCCCCTTCCTCCTCTCCAACAGCTCCTGCAACTGGCTGCACTCTTCTGTTTTCTCCTCCAGCTGCCGCTCCAGCCCAGCTCGGGATGGCTCTAGCTTCTGCCGCTTCTGAAAAAGGGAATGAGAGTATAGCAGGTGGAGGGTGGGGAAAGCCTCTCAGAAAGACTCAGGATAGGACCAGGCAGTGGCTCACGCCTGTAATCCCAGCACTTTGGGAAGCCAAGGCGGGCAGATAACAATATCAGGAGTTAGAGACCAGCCTGGCCAACGTGATGAAACACTGCTTCTACTAAAAATACAAAAATTAGCTGGGCAAGGTGGCAGATGCCTGTAATCCCAGCTATTCAGGAGGCTGAGGCAGGAGAATCACTTGAATGCAGGAGGCAGAGATTGCAGTAAGCCGAGATCGCGCCCACTGCATGCCAGCTTGGGCGACAGGGCAAGATTGTCTCAAAAAAAAAAAAGAAAAAAGAAAAAAGAAAAAAAAAGACTCAGAATAATGGGAATATCTAACACTCATTGGACACTTGCTGTATGAGAGACACTGTACTTGGGACCTTATGTATATTAGCCACATTTAATCCTCATAACTAGCCGTGGTACTTGTAATGATGTAAAATATGCCCACAAATTATCTGACATTTCTTTCAAAAGACAAAGCCTAAATCTGTTTGCCTCAAGCATGGGCTTGATGTAGAGACTTCCTTCTAACAAACAGAAAAAGGAGGATATGATGCGTAAGTTCTGACATTAGGTCATAAAAAGACATTGCAGCTTTTCTCTCGGATCCCTCACTCTGGGAAAAAATAGCTGTTACATTGTGACAATACTCAAAAGCAGCTCTGTGAAGAAGGCCAAGCTGCCAGGAACTGAGGTCTATGACCAACAGCATTTGATTAAGCCAGTGTTTGTCTGTTTGTTTGTTTGTTTGTTTGTTTTTTGAGACAGAGTCTAGCTCTGTCGCCCAGGCTGGAATGCAGTGGCACTATCTCAGCTTGCTGCAACCTCTGCCTCCCAGGTTTAAGCAATTCTCCCTGCCTCAGCCTCCCAAGTAGCTGGGATTACAGACACCCGCCTCCACGCCTGGCTGATTTTTGTATTTTTAGTAGAGAAGGGTTTTTACCATGTTGGCCAGGACGGTCTTGAACTCCTGACCTCAGGTGATCCGCCTGCCTCAGCCTCCCAAAATGCTGGGTGCAGTTTTGAGACAGGGACTTGCTCTGGCACCCAGGCTGGAGGGCAGCAGGGCAATCATAGCTCACTGCAGCGTCAACTTCCTCGGCTCAAGCAATCCTCCCACCTCAGCCTCCCAAGTAGCTGGAACTACAGATGTATGCCATCACAACTGGCTAATTTTTTATTTTTGTAGAGGCAGGGTCTCACTGTGTTGCCCAGCCTGGTCCCAAACTCCTGGGCTCAAGTGGTCCTCCCACCTTGACTTCCCAAGGTGCTGAGATTATAGGCGTGAGCCACCATGCCTGGCCCTGAGTAAGCCATTTTAGAAGCAGATCCTCCAATTTACTTCTTTTGGCCACAGCCAGAAACTTGACTGGAACCTTATAACAGACTCAGAGCCAGAATTACGCTATGAAGCTGATCCCTGGTTCTTGGTCCTCAGACACTGGGAAATGTTTGCTTGTTTGCTTGTTTGTTTCAGACAGAGTTTCGCCCTTGTTGCCCAGGCTGGAGTGCAGTATCACAATCTCGGCTCCCTGCAACCTCCGCCTCTTGGGTTCGAGCGATTATCCTGCCTCAGTTCCTGAGTAGCTGAGATTACAGGCATGGGCCACCACACCCGGCTAATTTTGTATTTTTAGTAGAGGCGGGGGTTTCTCTATGTTGGTCAGGCTGGTCTTGAACTCCCCACCTCAGGTGATCCGCCCACCTTGGCCTCCCAAAGTGCTGGGATTACAGCCATGAGCCACCGCGCTTGGCCAGGAGATGTTTAAGAAATTTGTTACACAGCAATAGATAATTAATATAGTACTATCATAATCCCCACTTTAAGGAACAGAGGCTTAGAACATTTAAAGAACTTGCCCAAGGTCGGTTACACAGCCAATAAGTAACAGAACCAGGATTTGAACCCAGTTAGTTTCGCTCCACAGCCAACCACTTAACCATTACACTACAGTGCTTGCCAAGAGACAAAGGAAGTTACAATCCAACATTTACTGAGGACCACACACAAAGCAATACTGTGAAAGGCAGAAGACATGTTTTTAAAAAGGGTACACTAACTTTAGAATAAAACTGACCTGGATTTTTTCATTCCTCTCTGCAACTTACTGAGGCAATTTACTTAGCCTCTCTGATCTTCTGTTTTCTCATCAGAAAAGGGTCCAGAATAGGCATTCACAGGGTCACTAAGATAATTACAGTACCCAGGACAACACATACTACCAAAGTTATACTCAATGAATGATAGCTACTCCTATTGCCATTATTTTGATGATGATTAAAAAGAAATGAGGCACAGAGAAGGTTAAGTAATTTTCTTAAGTTTTATACAGCTACTAAGGGGCAGAGCCAGGATGGGAACTCCCAAAGGGGAGTGGAATGGAAGATGGGTAGACTCCTCACGTGCTCCACCTCCCTAAGCCCCAGAGAACCCCAGAAGTCCTTGCTGGAACTAGCACACACTCTTGTCTCTTGTCTCATAAGACATAAGCACGCTTGTTCCATTGCTTGGAAGAGTCAGCCCAGCCCATCTCCAGGCCAAGGCTTTCTTCCCGGGTTCCTTCACCTCCGGCACCTCTAACCTTTCCTCACCTTCACCTCTTCATCCAGCTTTCGCTGTAGCTCCTCCACTTTTCGGATAAGCTCGCCCTGCCCTGCCACGGCCTTCGAAGAACCGGAAGAAATCATCTGCCAGAAATATGGGGGGTGGGGGGGAAAGGAGTGAGTCCAAGTCGGATCCCCTGAGGCCCTCAAAGCCCTAACCTTGACCCTTGCCCCCATCCAGAGAAGACCACTCACCACTAGAGGCTGCATCTTCTCCAGCACCAAACTAACCTTCCTCCTCACAGAGGCTTCACTTTCTGAGCTTCTAGAGGATAAAAGGGTAGAAGCAAGGTTTAGGGGAGGGAAGAGGTAGCAGACATCGGGAAAGGGTAAAATCAAGGAAGATGGGGAACAAAGCTAGAAGAAAAAGGGAGGGATGTGCCTCTGCTGCTGGTGGGGGGGCCCCACTCACCCCTCCCTCAGGATGCCATAGATGGTAGCCTTCATATGGTCCACGCTGCCTGGTGGGGCTGCCTCCTGCTGGTCCCGGAGGAGGTCTGGAGTTGATTTAAACTGTTTTAAAAAAAAAAGAAAGAAAGAAAGAAAGAAACAGGAAGATCAGGCCAGAAACATGCATGGGGTTCAGATGCAGTAAAGTGGCAGTGTCGGGTCAAGGCCCCTCAAGCATGATGAACGACTCTGAAGTGCAGCAGAGAGGCCAGCGCAGATGCACTTCCACACTATCGCTGCAAACCAGATTCTCCCCAACAAACATTTCAACCAGCTGTGCCACAAGTGATTTGTCACTCATGGCAGTTAGCATGCTAGAGCTCATAAATAATTTACTCTTAAAATGAACTTAGGCACACGCCTGTGGTCCCAGCTACTCGGGAGGCTGAGGCGGGTGGATCACAAGGTCAAGAGATCCAGACCATCCTGGCCAACATGGTGAAACACCATCTCTATTAAAAATACAAAAATTAAGGCCGGGCGCGGTGGCTCAAGCCTGTAATCCCAGCACTTTGGGAGGCCGAGGCGGGCGGATCACAAGGTCGAGAGATCGAGACCAACCTGGTCAACATGGTGAAACCCCGTCTCTATTAAAAATACAAAAAATTAGCTGGGCATGGTGGCGCGTGCCTGTAATCCCAGCTACTCAGGAGGCTGAGGCAGGAGAATTGCCTGAACCCAGGAGGCGGAGGTTGCGGTGAGCCGAGATCGCGCCATTGCACTCCAGCCTGGGTAACAAGAGCGAAACTCCGTCTCAAAAAAAAAAAAAAAAAAAAAAAAAATACAAAAATTAGCCGGCGTGGCGGCATGCACCTGTGGTCCCAGCTACTCGGGAGGCTGAGGCACAAAAATCGCTTGAACCCAGGAGGCAGAGGTTGCAGTGAGCCGAGATTGCGCCACTGCACTCCAGCCAGGCCACAGAGCAAGACTCCGCCTCAAAAAAAAAAAAAAAAAAGAAAAGAAAAGAAAGAAAAAGAAAAACATACTTTTTATGTGCAAGCTCTGCAGATAAAAATAACAAACAGGAAAAAAAAAATGAACTTAAATTTCTCTCAAAGTAAAGTGGCTCCCTCACTTACGTTCCTGAGTAGGAGAGAAAGGTGTGGAATTTTAGCCAGAGCACCAAGGAAACCGCCCCGTCCTCCAAGCCTGCCTTACGGACACCGCAGACCTAGCAAATGCTGGAGACTGAGCATAGTTCATGGTTGTGGCAATGACAACTACATCCAAACTTGTGAATAATGATTTTTTAGCTCGCTCCATTTTCTTTAGAATTTTACCCATGGAAATATCTTGTGCATGTGAATATCACCTATTTTTTGGACAGATACAGTGGAGAACAAAAGGAGAGTTTCTGCCTAGGCTACCTGCACTAGCAAGGAGGCCTTTGGCTGGTGGGTAAAGGCTGATGAGAAGGGAGAAGAGGCTGACAGGTGGAAGCCAGGGAAGGGCCGGGTCTGACCTGCAGCATGGTAGGGTCCTGTGCTCTCCCCCGAGGCTCCTCAAAACTCTGAAGGACCCAGTCCTGAGTCTGACGGGCACGGCTAAAGCCACCGAGAGGGCTCGGGCTCGGGCTCGGGCTCGGGCTCGGGCTCGGGCTCGGGCTCGGGCTCGGGCTCTGGGCTGCCTGCTGGGAACTGCCCACGTGGCTGTCATATTTTGTGTTGGGGTTCCAGTGGTTGGTGGACTGGCGCTCCCGTTCCTCCAGGGTGTCCCGTGGGAGGCGGCTGTCCAGGCTCTTGCTCCGTTTGCGCTGTTCGGGGGGTAGCATCCGTGTTCGGCGGCCGGTCCGGCCCCGGGCCTGGCCCCCAAGTTGACTGTCAAACTTGTTGATGAGCGAGTCCACTGAAGACAGGGGAGCAGTGTCAATGGTGCTGCCCGGGGAAGCCACTTTCGGGGCTAGGTCCAGCATGCTGGTGCTTCTGTTACTAGGATCCATTGGGCCAGGGCCTGCCAGCGAGGCCTGAGACTGGGAACGGAGTAGCTTTCCATTCCACTGGGCCCCAGGATCCTCATCAGATGTGCTGCTCTGCGAGGGGGCAGGAAATCCCCGGACCTGAGAGTAGGGGTTCTCAGGGAGTTCTGAATCTGAGCTCAGAGCTCCCGAGGCCCCTTGGTCATTGGCCCCCTTAATTTGGACCCCAAAGGAGTCGCCACCTTTCTCCCCACTGTTGAGAACCACAAAGGGCTGTCCGGCGATGCCCTGGACACGCACAGCAACCCCGTAGGTACTGGCTCTTGCATCCTTAGCTGGGCGTCGTCCACCACGACGTAGGGTGCCCATCTCTGCACCACTCACTGGCTCTGTGATGAAGCGAATCTGCACTCCATGATCTACAGGGCCCCGGGGCTCAGCCATGTTGGGTGCCTGCTCCATGAATAGGAGGAGTCCTAGAAGATGAAGAAATGAGTTTAGGCTGAGAGACTTAACCAGAAACTATGAAACTTCTACTTGTCTCATAGTAGAAACTTTAGTTTGTCCAGCTTTAGTGGGGCTGACTGCCCTGTCAGTTCCTACCGGATAAACCACTGATTCTCAGACTGACAGGAAGCCCCTGGAGAGCCTTTTAACATGCAGGTTGCTGGACCTAACTTCCAGAGCTTCTGATTCAGTAGGACTGGGTTGGGAACTAAGAATTTGCATTTCTAACCAAGTTCCCCAGGTGATACTGATGCTACTGGTCCAGATACCACACTTTGAGACTCACTCACCTAAAGAATCCATTTCCTCTGATACAGCCCTGGGGAGCTAGGCTTTGTTAAAAGTTTAAAGATTTTGCAGCCGGGCGCGGTGGCTCAAGCCTGTAATCCCAGCACTTTGGGAGGCTGAGGCGGGTGGATCACGAGGTCAAGAGATCGAGACCAGCCTGGTCAACATGGTGAAACTCTGTCTCTACTAAAAATACAAAAAATTAGCTGGGCATGGTGGTGCGTGCCTGTAATCCCAGCTACTCAGGAGGCTGAGGCAGGAGAATTGCCCGAACCCAGGAGGCGGAGGTTGCGGTGAGCCAAGATCGCGCCATTGCACTCCAGCCTGGGTAATGAGCGGAAACTCCGTCTCCAAAAAAAAAAAAAAAAAAAAAAGATTTTGCTTGATGGCCAGGAGCAGTGACCTGTAATCTCACCAGTTTGGAAGGCCAAGGCAGGCAGACTGCTTGAGCTCAGGAGTTCAAGACCAGTTTGGGCAACATGGTGAAACCGCATCTCTACACAAAATACAAAAGTTAGCCGTGCCTGGTGGCGTGCTGCTGTAATCCCAGCTACTTGGGAGGCTGAGGTGGGAGGATCACTTGAATTTGGGAGAGGCTGCAGTGAGCAGTGACTATGCCATTGCACTCCAGCCTGGGTGACACAGTGAGACACTGTCTCAAAAAAGATTTTGCTTGATCTCCATATGTACAAATAACACTACCATGTGCCTCCCTTCCCACCTCCCCTTCAAGTGAAGACAGAACCCACACCCTGCTGAACAGATACCTTCATCTCATATGGGGACCTTCTCTCCCAGAGCTCACTTAAAATATAGAAGACCTCAAAGTTTATCATCCCACTTCTGGAAAGGGACTTAAAAAAACTGACAGCAGTGATACCTTTGAGGTGGAGGAAGTAAGGACTAGGAACAGGGACGGAAGAGTTTCTATTCTCTGGAAGAACAGAAAGGAGTGGACTTTCTTACTGTGTATCTCTTTGTCCCTTTTGAATTTGGAACCATGTGGATGTATTATCTATTCAAGAAAAGATTTTTTTTTTTTTTTTTTTTTTTTTTTGAGACGGAGTTTCGCTCTTGTTACCCAGGCTGGAGTGCAATGGCACGATCTCGGCTCACCGCAACCTCCGCCTCCTGGGTTCAGGCAATTCTCCTGCCTCAGCCTCCCGAGTAGCTGGGATTACAGGCACGCACCACCATGCCCAGCTCATTTTTTGTATTTTTAGTAGAGACGGGGTTTCACCATGTTGACCAGGATGGTCTCGATCTCTTGACCTCGTGATCCACCCGCCTCGGCCTCCCAAAGTGCTGGGATTACAGGCTTGAGCCACCGCGCCCGGCCGAGAAAAGATTTAAATATGGTTTAAAAACTGTGCCACTCCAAGGAGCCGCAGGTCAAGTAAACTTGTCTCAGCTAAGAGCCAGAGCCAACACTAGCCATGGGCCAGCTTCCCAGGTCCATATTGCTCAAGCTCAGAGTCAGCAAATGGAATGTATTCCAGGTATGCTCTGGCTCCAGGAAGTTAGGGGAGAGATTATCTTCCAAGCAAATAAAAAAATTCAGCTTCCCCACCCCTTCCGCTAGGCTCTACCAGAGCCTAGCACCAAACTGGAGGAGGAGCCTCTAACGTGCCAGACAGAAACACAAACATACCCAACTCAACCTCCCCCAACCTCCCCATGGAGTTCTGGGCCAAGGAAACTTGGCAAGGCCCCTTTCAGAGACTGTAAAGAGCTAGCAAGCCAGGAAACCAGGGTGAGATGAGAAGGGAGGGGAAGGGATGGGAGAGGCAGAGCTACAGGTGACAAAGGGCTTGGTGGGGAAGGTCTCCTATCTAAAGAGCATTCTTAGAATTCCCAGCAATTTTCAAGAGAAAAGAATGGGGAGGGAAGATCCCTTTATTAGAAATAATTCTTCATCTTTTTGGCCCTAGAACTCCATGAGAAAATGATGAAAGTGATGCACCCTCTCCCAGGAGACAGCACACACAAACTTTTACCACCCCATCTTAAAAGGTGTGTGAAGGCAGAAGGGTAGAATAATTCTCCAAGCCACTCATCCAGTAGAAAATGCAACGGACTAGAGTCAGGATCTGGTTTGGAATCCTATCTCTGTTCCTCACTTGACGTATCCAACCTCAGGCAAATCATAACTTTTCTGGTGTGGTGGCTCATGCCTGTAATCCCAGCAATTTGGGAGGCCAAGGTGGGCGGATCACTTGAACTCAGGGGTTTGAGATCAGCCTGAGCAACATGGCAAAACCCCAGCTCTACAAAAAATACAAAAAAATTAGCAGGGTTTGGTGGACACACCTGTAGTCCCAGCTACAAGGGAGGCTGAAGCAGGAGGATCACCTGAGTCCAGGAAGTCAAGGCTGCCGTGAGCTGTAATCACACCACTGCACTCCAGGTGGGGTGACAGAGTGAAACCCTGTCTCAAACACAACGACAACAAAAACCCCACAACTTTTCTGTGCCTCAGTTTCCTCATCTGTAAAATAGATATAATACCGCAGCAAGGTTATTATCTGTCAGACTGAGATAATAAGGCCAGGTGTGGTGGCTCACGCCTGTAATCCAAGCACTTTGGAGGCCAAGGTGAGCAGATCACCTGAGGTCAGGAGGTCAAGACCAGCCTGACCAACATGGTGAAACCCTGGGTCTTTAAAAAAAAAAAAAATGAGATAATAAACAATTATATGGGTATACACAACAATAAAAAAATTAATCAAGTTATACATTTAAGATCTTTGTACTTAGGGCCGGGCGCGGTGGCTCAAGCCTGTAATCCCAGCACTTTGGGAGGCCAAGGCGGGTGGATCACGAGGTCAAGAGATCGAGACCATCCTGGTCAACATGGTGAAACCCCGTCTCTACTAAAAATATAAAAAATTAGCTGGGCGTGGTGGTGCATGCCTGTAATCCCAGCTACTCATGAGGCTGAGGCAGGAGAATTGCCTGAACCCAGGAGGCGGAGGTTGCGGTGAGCCGAGATCGTGCCATTGCACTCCAGCCTGGGTAACAAGAGCAAAACTCCGTCTCAAAAAAAAAAAAAAAACAGCCGGGTGCGGTGGCTCAAGCCTGTAATCCCAGCACTTTGGGAGGCTGAGGCGGGTGGATCACGAGGTCAAGAGATCGAGACCATCCTGGTCAACATGGTGAAACCCCGTCTCTACTAAAGATACAAAAAAATGAGCTGGGCATGGTGGCACGTGCCTGTAATCCCAGCTACTCAGGAGGCTGAGGCAGGAGAATTGCTTGAACCCAGGAGGCGGAGGTTGCGGTGAGCCGAGATCACGCTATTGCACTCCAGCCTGGGTAACAAGAGTGAAACTCCGTCTCAAAAAAAAAAAAAAAAGATCTTTGTACTTTATTTAGGCCAGGCAGGGTGGCTCATGCCTGTAATCCCAGGACCATGGGAAGCAGGCAGATCACCTGAAGTCAGGAGTTAGACAACAGCCTGGCCAACATGGTGAAACCCCGTCTCCACCAAAAATACAAAAATTAGCTGGGCATGGTGGCAGATGCCTGTAATCCCAGCTACTGGGGAGGCCAAGGCAGGAGAATTGCTTGAACCCAGGAGGCAGAGGTTGCAGTGAGCTGAGATTGTGCCACTGCACTCCAGCCTGGTGACAGAGCAGGACTCCATCTCAAAAAAAGAAAAAAAAAATTTTTAAACTTTATTGAACTTGGGTTCTAATTTAATAAAAAGGAGATAAAAGACAAGATATTAAGCATAAAAACATCTAGCAGTGTGACTGTCACAAGGCTGACAACAAATAGCATCCTTCACACATGGCACTTCGTCCAACAGGCACTTTCTGGCTTCATCTGGTTCACAGAAAGATGTCACTTCGGCCGGACGTGGTGGCTCACGCCTGTAATCCCAGCACTTTGGGAGGCCAGGACAGGTGGATCACGAGGTCGAGAGATTGAGACCATCCTGGCCAACATGGTGAAACCTCGTCTCTACTAAAAATACAAAAATTAGCTGGGTGTGGTGGTTCATGCCTGTAATCTCAGCTACTTGGGAGGCTGAGGAAGAAGCGTTTGCCTAGGAAGCAGAGGTTGCAGTGAGCCGAGATTGCACCACTGCACTCCAGCCTGGCAACAGAGACCCTGTCTCAAAAAAAAAAAAAAAAAAAAAAAAAGAAAGAAAGATGTCACTTCTTCAGAGAAGCCTTCCCTGAACACCCATCCCACAAACCAGGTCACTTCTCACAAATCAGCCTCCCACAAACCAGGTCGGATCCATGCTACACGCTATACAGTTGTCCTTCAGTAGATTTACTCCAGTTTATATTTACACATTTACTGGAGTAATTATTTCCTGTCGGTCTCCCCTACTTGCAATAAGCTCCTGGAGGGCAAAGACCATGGCTATCAGCTAACCACTGTGTCTCCGGGTGTTTGGGCACGTAGCAGATACCAACAGATACTTGTTAAAGGCTGTATCCTGAACTAAAGCCCACTTGCGCAGCCGTGGGGAGATTTGCCCAAGACAAATCTACTTTGCCTTAGTAACAGCACCTCTTAGTAACAGGACCTCCTCCTGATTCAGACTTGCTGCCCTATGTAGTTGTGATCTTAGAACCAGATGTGCCTAGATGGCCAGCTCTCAGAAGCCACATGATTTATTCATGATGCAGTCTACCCTGTCAGTCCGTCTACTGATCTTCCAGATCCAGGTCAAGGAGTTTCCAGCCTAGGCCCAGCAGAGGGCACAGCCCCTTGGACAACAGCATTAAATTGCTCAGAGGCAGTGTTGAGCACTCCCAAGTCCCAGGTTAGGTTAGTTCCCCAGCCTCAATCACCTTCAGTCCAAGGACATGTGGATCAGGGACCAGGAGGGCTAAAGGGATCTTCGGGGTGGGTCAGAAAGCAGGGCTCTAAATGATTCAACATGGAAAACCCGAAACCTACCCGCCTTCGGTTACAGAGGACAGTGGGGCGGGACCAAGGCAGCAGGGCAGCTCTGAGGCCTTGCGTAAGCCCCAGAGGCAGGCAGGTAAACAGTGATCAAGGGCCAGGCAACGTGGAGTCCAGGGCCTGCGCCCTCACCAGATGCCTGACCCTGCTTTTCTCTCTCCCATCACATGCCCAGGGCTCTCTGCACCAACTGCACTCCGGGAAGAGACCAGACCACCAGCTAATTCAGCTGCATCTGTCTGCCTCTGTCTTTCCAGCCTGCAAGGAGAGGGAGAACACTCCACCTGTACCAGATAGCCACTTCTCCCTGAGTTACTCATTAGCCTGCCCTGCCCCAATTCCATCACCTCTGGCCCAGCCATACGCATCTGGTTTCCAACTAGGAGTGACAGGGTCTCTGGACTCCTAGCAGGAAGTGGGGGTGGGGTGGTTTCAGGTGTTTGGAGGAAGGACTGATTCACACAGGGCCAGGCAATAGGCTAGATGCTGGCAGATTTAGAAAATGGGAGAACTGGAGGTATAGAGATTAGAATCCCCTCAGAGGAAACAAGGAAAGCAAATGGTCGAAATAGAAAAGGCCAGCTCAGTGACCTTGATCACTCGGTACCCTTTTTCTCATAGTCACAGAGACACGAAGGTTCCCTGTAGATCCAAAAAAAAAAAAAAATCCCCCAGGTGGACTCCTGGCTAGGTCCACTGAAAAAGCAGAAACCTGAGAGCCAGGCTAGAGCTGCTTGGCCAGTAGGAAAAAAACACAAGGAGGAACGGGGCCCCTGCAAACTGGCTGGACTGGTTTGAGAGGCGAGGGAAAGGGGAGGCCCAGGGAGACTACACTGGCCGCTTGTAAAGCAGACCAGAGAAATTCCGTATCACGGAGGAGGCACAGGGGCAAGACCATGGGCAGGGGCTCTCTGGCCTGGATGGCAAAGCCAAAGCCCTGAAGGAGAGGACAGAGGGCGGGGAGGGAACAGGCAGGAGGAGCAGATGAACAAGAACCTGGTGACAGGCCAGTGTGTGACAGGGAGACTTTGTCTCCCTCCACCCCTCCCTTTCGAGTTCCCAAAGTTGCATTCCTGATCCCACACTTGTCTTGGCCGCCTCCCTGGCCCTCAGTTTGCCCCTCCCTGGCACAAAGAGAAGAGCTCTACACCCCGCTCACCTCCCACAAGGGAAATGGCATGCAGGCCAGCCTGGGAAACACAGGAAGGGTTCTAGGAAGCCAGAATCCTCTTAGAGTCAGGCAAATCTCTGGATTAGCAGTCCCCCAGAGCCAGCCCCCAGACTCCCAAACATCCAGGATGAAAGAAGAGATGCAGAGGTATGTGTAGGCAGCCCGGCTACGAACATAGCGGTTGCTAATTATTTCCCAATTACAACAACCTTCCTCAGGCAGGGCTTCAAAGGGGTCAAGCTAAGGTTGACTCTAGTTCCCTTACCTGCCTAAGGCAAAGAAATTTGCCTTCAGTCTTGTCTGGGCCCGAAGGTGCACCTTGCATCTGTCCTGGGGATTTGGAGTTACAATTCCCCTAGTCTGGTGGTCTCCTGATGAGTCCTGCCTATTTCCTGCACCTAGTGCCTGCTGCCTTTCTGACCGCCACAATTCAGGACTCAGGGATGCCTGGGGGCGTTCGGGGAGTAATGGAGATTCGTCCACACATCAAGAAAATTGTGATTGGGCTCCCAACCCTCATCCAATGGTCCCCATCTAGAACCACAGAAAAATATGAGTACTTGGAGGAAGGGTTTGACATCCGCCCCCAGAAAGTGACCTCCTGAGAAAGAAGTATTAATATTTCTCAACATTTCGCAGGCCCAGGGGTCTATGCTTCCTCATAACCCTCTCTTGGGGAGTACTCCCCCTCTGAAGAGGAAGAAGGAACGATTCTCCCTGGCACGAAAGCAAAGGACAGAAAGCGAAAGCCTAATGGTTGTATACCTGGCAAAGAGATGAGGGTGCCCTCCCATCTGCCCCTCGGTGTCTCTGATTCGCAACTGCCTACGGCTGGAGGTGAAGAGCTGGGGGAAAGATCCCACACCTCAGAGCCATCTGAAAGCCATCGGGAAGGTGACAGCGGCCAGCTGAGACCGGAGGACGCAGGAAAGAACCTCAGGCAAACAGCACCTGCAGATGCCCGCCCCGACGAGCCTGCACCTCGGGCAGCAGCAGTTCACGGGCTCAGCTGGGACTAACTCCTTCCCCCAGGCCCCGCGGTCTCCGAGAGAAATTCTGCCCCTAGGGCTGGCGTCTGACCTCCAGAGAGATCTGGCGCTGAAACGCTTTCATGCCCTGGGAACAGCCTTCGCCCTAGGTGCCCCTCGCCTGGCATCTTCCCAGCCACCTGCATCTGGAACCTCAGGGTAGGGGCCGGCTCGTAGTACCCCACCCCGCCCCAACCTCCCCTCCTCCCGTCTCCCACTCGGCACCTGTGCCCTGGAGAGGGGCATCTCACATCGCCTGGATGCCAGCCCCTCACAGGTAGCCCTGAAGGCCCGCTTTCCTTTCGGGTGCCTTGGCCCCCGCCGGGCCCACTCACCCTGGCCGGGCTCGGCGCTCCCAGGCTTGCGCTCAGGCTCGGGCTCGAGCTCGGGCAGAACAGCACGCGCGGCTGCGGCCCTCCCCCTTGTCCTCGGCGCTCCCTCCTTTCTCCCCCTCCCACCAACCTGTTGCTCCGCTGCGGAGCTCCGCCCCCGCGGGCCGTCAGCGGCTGCTCCGCCCTCCCCCGCTCCGGTTGGTCCGCTTCCCGCAGGGGGCGGGGCTTCAACCGCGGGGACCCGGACCCGGGGTCTCCAGCCGCGAGGGGCGGGCCGGGTCACGTGGAGCGGCGGGCTGCGGAGGGCCCGCGCGGGCGGTGAGGGGCGCGGAGGCCATTTTGGGGGCGTCGCGGTGGGCCGCCAGTGACCGCCGGTCCAGACCGCGGAGTCGCGGGCCAGAGCATCTTCTGGGCTCTGCTGGAAAGCAGCCTCCAGCCCCGGGTTTACTCCACGGCAATCGCCGCCCAGGGACCTTTCTGTCCTTCACTTACCTCTGCAGGAACCAGAATGTTCTTTCGTCACTTTCTGCAGAAAGTATCTCCGTTGTTCGCCGACATCAGAGCCTCCTGCACCTCAGCTGGTCTCCTTTTTATCTGTCCTGCACCAGAACCCTGATTTTGGATTTTTTTTTTTTTTTTTTTTTTTTTTTTTGAGACTGAGTTTCGTCCTTGTTACCCAGGCTGGAGTGCAAATGGCGCGATCTCGGCTCCCTGCAACCTCCGCCTCCCGGGTTCAAGCGATTCTCTCACTTTAGCCTCCTTAGTAGCTGGGATTACAAGCTCGCAGCCACCATGTCCGGCTAATTTTCGTATTTTTAGTAGAGACGGGGTTTCACTCTTTTGGCCAGGCTGGTCTCGAACTCCTGACCTCATGTGATCCACCGCCTCGGCCTCCCAAAGTGCTGGGATTACAGGTATCAGCCACCGCGCCCGGCCTGGATTCTCTTTTATCTCATGGCCTCCACAGTCATTTAACAGCCTGACATCTTCTTCTATGAATATTTATCACTTTCTGGTTAATAACACAGAATTTTAAAAATCATTTTTATCATTTTGCCTCCCGTCCTACGATGAGCTCCACCAGAGCAAGGATCTCTTGTTCTGTGCCCTGCTTCCTCCCAAACGCCTGCAACTGGGACTGGCACATACTTCGTGCTTCATAAACATTTATTGACTGAATGAATGGGAACCGGGGACGCAAACTATACCTGAATAAGAATGACCTTCGTTCTAAGCTGAAAAAGACTCAACCCCCGAATTGTAAATCCACCTTAGAGTTAGCCCCTGGAGAAGCAGGATGCTGATCCCAGTTTGCTGAGAAGAGTAAAGCCTAGGGGCTCTGCAAAATTCAGGAACCCCGCTCATGCAGGGGTTAAAACAATAGTTTTAACGGCAGTTAAAACAACATGAAAGCTGGCTTCTTAGCTGTTAACCGTTGAGATATGTAAAAAAGAGATTAACTTAGTTTACGTTGCTGGGCTCGGGATTTTATTTTCATTTAGTTACAACAAATATTTACCCTGTACCGTTTCGAAGTAGAAGAGGAATCTTCCAGGCAGCCGCCAAGTCCGGTGTGTTCTCGGGAGCTCATTTCCGCCCCTCCCCCAGCCTTCAGAAGCTAGGTGGGGTCCTACAGGGTAAAGTCCACTTACCAACTCCTTAGCTGGGATGCAAAGTCTCTGCATTCCAGAGGAAGCTGTATATAAGGATTAGGGCCATCAAACCAGCCCTTGCCCTGGGAAGGAACGGGAAAAAAAAATGTGGTGGGTGTGGGGACAGAAGAGGAAATGTCCTTCGAGGATGGCACCTCCTGAACACTGGGGTGGCTTTCAAAATACTATTTTTTTTTAATTGGGCATCCCCCTGAACCAGAATAGGTTCAGAGACACTCCCATGGCATAGTATTTTTGTTTGTTTGTTTTTATTGTATGGAGTGCAGTGTTGTGATCTCAGCTCACTGCAACCTCAGCCTCCCAAGTTCAAGCGATTTCCGGCTTTTTGTTTTTTTTAATTTTTTTTTTTTTTTTTTTTAAGTAGAGACAGGGTTTCACCAGTCTCCTCTCAAACTCCTGTCCTCCAGTGATCCTCCTGCCTCGGCCTCACAAAGTACTAGGATTTCAGGCGTGAGCCACCAGGCCTGGCCTGTTTTGGGTTTTTTGTTTTTGCTTTTTTTTTTTTTTTTTGAGACGGAGTTTCATTCTCGTTACCCAGGCTGGCGTGCAATGGCGCGATCTCGGCTCACTGCAACCTCCGCCTCCTGGGTTCAGGCAATTCTCCTGCCTCAGCCTCCTGAGTAGCTGGGATTACAGGCACGTGCCACCATGCCCAGCTAATGTTTTTGTATTTTTAGTAGAGACGGGGTTTCACCGTGTTGACCAGGATGGTCTCGATCTCTTGACCTCGTGATCCACCTGCCTCGGCCTTCCAAAGCGCTGGGATTACAGGCTTGAGCCACCGCGCCTGGCCTTTTTTTTTTTTTTTTAATTGAGAAAGAGCCTCACTCTGCCACTCAGGCTGGAGTCCAGTGATACAATCCCAGCTCACTGCAGCCTCCGTCTCACAGGCTCGAGCAATCCTCCCACCTCAGCCTCCTGAGTGGCTGGGACTTCAGACACACACCACCACACCAGGCTAATTTTTGTATTTTTAGTAGAGATGGGTTTCCGTGTTGCCCAGGCTGGTATTGAACTCCTGACCTCAAGCCATCTGCCTGCCTCGACCTCTCAAGATACCGGGATTACAGGCGTTAGCCACCATGCCCACCCAAGTTTTGGTAAGTTTTTTTTTCTTTTAATGTGGGATGTTTAATTGACCCAGATATTGGAAAGGCGGAAGCTCCTAAACTCTCCTAGATAAAACCTTAGCAATTAGGATACTTAGTGTATTTGTAGTAAATACCAACTTGGGGCCGGGCGCGGTGGCTCAAGCCTGTAATCCCAGCACTTTGGGAGGCCGAGGCGGGTGGATCACGAGGTCAAGAGATCGAGACCATCCTGGTCAACATGGTGAAACCCCATCTCTACTAAAAATACAAAAAATTAGCTGGGTGTGGTGGCGCATGCCTGTAATCCCAGCTACTCAGGAGGCTGAGGCAGGAGAATTGCCTGAACCCAGGAGGCGGAGGTTGCGGTGAGCCGAGATCGCGCCATTGCACTCCAGCCTGGGTAACAAGAGCGAAACTCCGTCTCAAAAAAAAAAAAAAAAATACCAACTTGGGTGGTTCCTGGCACCATGAACATGGATTACAAGGGTAAGTGGGAGCCTCTGAGTCACTGCCTTCGTCATCTCTTCCTCAAGGAAGCACTCAGTCTGAAAGGGACACCCAGGCACAGGTGACAAAGGCAACACCCTGGTCTTTTTCCAGAGTTCAGAAGAGAGGTGATCCTTCTCCTTAAGAAATGCTACAGGGCTGGTCGTGATGACTCACACCTCTAATCTCAGCACTTTGGAAGGCCAAAACAGGAGGATGACTTTATCCCTGTAGCTGAATTGCTTGAACCCAGTAATTCAAGACCAGCCTGGGCAACAGATTGAGGCCCCATCTCTATTTTAAAAAATGTTTTCCAAAAACAGATAGCAAAATTGGCCTGTTTATAAATACAGCAAAAGCAGAAATTACAGCAAATATAATATCCAGAAAGCAGAACTAAATAACACTGATAGATGTTCAAGAGAGTTGTTTTATTTTGTGAAATAGGATAATAGGGAAAGTTTGGGGTAAATCGGAGGTTTCACAGAAGTGGATTTGGAACCAGATTCCTCTCCTGCAGTTTTTTCCTGAGTTCTCCAAGACTCACTCATACCACTAACAACTGTACTGAATTGTTCTCTCAAAGACCACCTGTTAATAATGGAATGAGGCGGGGCATGGCGGCTCATGCCTGTAATCCCAGCACTTTGGGAGGCTGAGGTAGGCAGATCACGAGATCGAGACCATCCTGGTCAACATGGTGAAACCCCGTCTCTACTCAAAATACAAAAAATTAGCTGGACATGGTGATGCATGCTTGTAATCCCAGCTACTCAGGAGGCTAAGGCAGGAGAATTGCCTGAACCCAGGAGGCGGAGGTTGCAGTGAGCTGAGATCGCACAATTGCACTCCAGCCTGGGTAACAAGCGAAAAACTCCGTCTCAAAAAAAAAAAAAAAAAAGAAACTAAAATTAGCGAGTCTCGTGGTGGCACGCGCCTGCGGTCCCAGCTACACAGGAGGCTGAGGCGGAAGGATCGCTTGAAACCCGGAGGGGGAGGTTTCAGTGAGCCCAGTTTGCACCACTGCATTCCAGCCTGGCGACAGAACAAGAGTACATCTCAAAAAAATACAAATTAGTCAGGCCTGGTGGCGAATGCCTGTAATCCCAGCTACTCAGGAGGCTGAGGCAGGAGAATCACTTGAACCCAGGAAGCAGAGGTTGGGGTGAGCCAAGTTCACGCCATTGCACTCCAGCCTGGGCAACAAGAGTGAAAACCCTGTCTCAAAAAAAAAAAAAAAGAGAGTACCTTAACTTAAAGGAAAACAGGGTAAAATAAAAGGCTATATTTGGTTTTGGGGTTTATGGGAGCCGGGTGGCGGGGGGTGTTTGTTTGAGACAGGGTCTCACTGTCACCCAATCACGGCTCACTGCAGCCTCAACCCCTTAGAGTGAAGGGATCCTCCCACCTCAGCCTCCTGAGTAGCAGGGACTACAGGTGCACATCATCACGCCCAGCTAATTTTTGTATTTTTTGTAGAGACAGGGTTTTGCCATGTTGTCTAGGCTGGTCTCAAACTCCTAAGCTCAAGTGATCCACCCACTTCAGCCTCCAAAGTTTTGGGATTACAGGTGTGTGTCACTGTGCTCAGCTGGTTTTGTTTTTAAGGAGAGACTGGTGGGGCACAGTGGCTCATGCCTGTAATCCCAGCATTTTGGGAGGCTGAGATGGGTGGATCACGTGAGGTAAGAATTTGAGATGAGCCTGTCCAACATGGAGAAACCCTGCCTCTATTAAAAATACAGAAATTAGCAGGTATGGTGGCACGTGCCTGTAATCCGAGCTACTTGAGAGGCTGAGGCTGGAGAATCGCTTGAACCTGGGAGGTTGCAGTGAGCCAGGATTGTGCCATGGCACTGCAGCCTGGGCGACAAGAGCCAAACTCT